TATAAAAATATATAAATATATATATTTTATATATAAATATATATATAAAATATATATATATTTATATATATATTTATATATATATATTTTGAGACAGAGTCTTGCTCTGTTGCCCAGACTGGAGTGCAGTGATGTGATCTTGGCTCACTGTAACCTCTGCCTCCTAGGTTCAAGTGATTCTCCTGTATCAGCCTTTTGAGTGTCCGGGACTACAGGTCCGTGCCACCACACCTGGCTGATTTTTGTATTTTTAGTAGAGACGGGATTTTACCATGTTGGCCAGGCTGATCTGGAACTTCTGACTTGGTGATTCACCTACCTCAGCCTACTAGAGTGCTGGGATTACAGGCGTGAGCCACCCTGCCCGGCCAAAATGTGGTATCTTTAAAAGCTCTGAGATGATGGCATTTTAGACTAAGGTAATGTTTTATTTTATGGAGATGTGTAGCTATACTGCTGGCAAGATGAATCAACATGTTCTAATTCTGCTTGGAATAAGAAGAACTTGATTTACCATTACCTGCTGTGGTAGAAAATTGCATCACTGAAGTAAATTTGTATCTTCAGTATTGGAAATATTCAGCAGAATCTATCAGAAAGGATTTCAAAAGCTGCAGTCTATGCTGTTGTGATAATAAGTAAAGAAAAGCATTTCCCCTGTTTCAGACAGCCTTTGATAGAATATGTATTTAGGAAAATATATACAGATTCATCAACTGTGTACCTGACTCAAATATTTTTAGCTTCTTTGGGTTGAACTTTGAGTTATGCCAAGGGATCCCCTTTGGTCTTTTCATGGAAAATCACTCAAAACCAATGTCGATGTGCACTTATAAAGAAGGGTGTAAAGGTTTATAGGATGATACTGCTCAACACTTTACAGGTCTGGAATCTACATAGTCAACTAGCTTCTCTATTTGAGCCCTGAACTAGTGTTGCATTCGTCTCCTGTTTCTTTTCCTTTGCTATTATCCAGTTGTAAAAGTGATGTGTGCTTCCTCTCTTGCCTTTTATTAGTGCATTGGGGCTTGTCTTGCAGGATGAGATCTGTGCTAAAACTTTGTGCTTCTTATCTCTGTATATGCTGATAAATAGGCTTTAGTGTTCTATCTTGTGGTGACATATCACCCCACCCCATCTTAGAGGTGACAGTTGCCTTTAAAGGACTACGGTTTTGTTGTGTAGGGGGCTTTTTCTGTTACGTGCTTCTAAATAGAGAGGACTGTGAGAGAATCTTTCAGGTCTGAGGAGGTATGTGGCTGTTTTGTGCTCCTTTCCTCTCCAACATCAGGGCTGTAGATAATTCACCCCTGGTGTTGTATCGCCCCCAACCCCTGCCACCCCTGGTGATTTGCTGCTAATTTTGGCTACTTTTTTCTTATTCCGTAATCTCTTGCTTAGTCTCTTCTGACTTCTGCCAATTCTGGTATAGTTTGTTCAATTGATTGGCCTTTTCTTGGTAGATCTCAGTCTCTTAACTTCTCCCCTTCCTCTTGTTGAACTGACCAATAATCTGTGAGAATAACCCTTATATCTTGTGTGTCATATGGGCTTCCATTTCCTAAAGCATATCATGCTATACATATTATTTTTAAACTGCCTTTTTGCCGCTTTATCTTCTGATAATACCTTTCCTTACATTTCTATTTTTAAAAAATTTATATTTCTAAATTTTCAGTGGCCGATATCCCTTCCATGATAATGAATCTGTCATTTGACCAGTCCCCTACTTTTAGGAATTTGGATGTTTCTCTTTTCTCTTTTCCCTTCTTCCTTCCTTGTGCCTTCTTGTTATTTCCTGGTAATGAGTATCGAGAGTTTTTTGTTCACCAGGCATATAGTTAGTTTTTGAAAACCTTACTGTGGGCTTTTTGAGGCTTTTGCTAGTTATAACATTACCTTGTGTGTTCAAAGACAGGGGTCCATATCTTATGCATATCTTTCTTCTTGGCATACATGTCTGACACAGTGGCCTTTCACTAAGGAATTATTGTTGAGTTTCAGAAGTGTGAGGGCCATTTGAAAAATACATGAGTACCTGCTATGTACTTGGAACCCAGGATATAGGGGTGAACAAGGTAGAGATTGTCCTTGCTCTCATAAGGTGAGGTATTATTTTGTAAAACAAGGTTTATGTTACAGAGATGGCAAGCCTCTTATGGTGAGGATCAGTGAAAAAAATTAAGACACACAGTATAGCAAAAGCAGAGTGAATGACTTAGGGTTTGGTTACTTGGGACATATTCATGCTTGTAGCTGAGTTGACTAATTGATTTTTCCATAGATGATATTTCTTATTTAGAATTATCCACTAGTGTTAATGGATTGAGATGGAATGATCTTTTTCAAATTCATACATTTTTGACCCTTGTGAGTAATTCCAGTCACTTATACTTAAATTAAAAATTTCATACCTGAATATAATATGCTATTGTACTTAGTGATTCCAGAGACCCAGAGATCTTTTAGGACTGAGTTTGGGGGGAATAAAAATATATCCCAAAATATTTTTGGTCTTTCTGTTGCATGTCTTAAAATATGATAGGCAAAGATTGCAGCCATGGAGAAGATTTTCTGCTATAAATTGGTGTTTCAACCCTGCCAGCTGTTCATGCTTTCTGCGATCCCACTTATAAAAGTGGAAAGTGAAGGGTGAGTGGCTGCCCTTATAGGCAACCACATAATTAAAAAAAAAAAATGTGCATGCCTCAGCAGATCTATATTAGTGTTTCATATAGCTGCCTTTTTCTTTTTTATTGTAGGGCCAGCTCTCAATGTTGCAAGAAAAAATAGACCATTTGGAGCGTTTGCTAGCTGAGAATAATGAGATCATCTCAAATATTAGAGACTCAGTCATCAATTTGAGTGAGTCTGTGGAAGATGGTCCGAAAAGTTCACAAAGCAATTTCAGCCAAGGTGCTGGTTCACATCTTCTGCCCTCACAGTTATCACTTGCCGTTGACCCTGCAGACTGTCTGTTTACTTCACAAAGTGGAAGTCACAATTCAGATGTGCAGGTAATGTATACATTTATTAATAATCACCAGGCCTTTTTTTTTTTGTTCTTTTTAAGATTTGACCTGATGTCTGTTCTGACTTGGTAAGTTGCTTAAACTCTTTGGATTCTAGTTTCTCATTTTGTAAAGTACTTTGATTAATCACATGAACATTAATGTTCTTTTTAGTGATAAAATTCCATAATTTTGTTTTCTTAGTTTATCTTACTATTTCATACTTGCGTGAATATAGTCTTTTAGTATGCTCTGCAGCTCTTATTTTCTATAATAGTTGAAAACCTTTAGAGGTTTACATTTT